CCCCAAACCCCCAAAACCCCAAAACCCCAAAACCCCATAAGAGACTACCTTGCTTGAAGTATTATAAAATTAGGAATAAAAATGGGATTATTCGGAAAGAAAAACGTTAAGTTCTCCGGCTGGATGGGAGACCTGTCTGAAGAACAAGAGGATAGACTTCAGGAATTTAAAGATATTATCCAAGATGAAAACCTTACTGAAGATCCCAGATATGATGACCATTATTTACTCAGATTCTTAAGAGCCAGGAAGTTTAATATAAAGAAGACACTGGAAATGTTCAAGAAGTTCTTGGAATGGAGAGTCGAGAATAGAGCTGATGATGCCATCTGGATAGATAGCTGTCCAAGTATTAACAAGGTCAAAGAGTTTTATGAATTTGCTTACCATGGAGTAGACAGAGAGGGTAGACCTTTCTCCATAGACAAACCATGTTCATTCGATATTGACGAGATCCTTGAAGTATCAAATAGAGATGAACTCTATGCTTTTTATGTCAAAGAGTATGAAACAACTCTCCACATTCGTATGCCAGCTGCATCAGCTGCAGCTGGTAAAAAAATTGAACAGACATTTAATCTTATTAGCATTAAAGGCTTTACAATGAAGAAGTTGAGACAGAAAACCAGAAACTTTATTAAACTAGCTGTAAACATTGGACAAGACAATTATCCAGAAATTATGGGTAAAATGCTCATTGTAGACTCTCCTTTAATTTTCAGAGGTGCATGGGCTCTCATCAGTCCATTCATCGATGAGAAAACCAGAACAAAGATCTCTATTTTAGGTGGCAAATATCAAAAGAAGCTGTTCGAACATGTTGACCCTGAAAATGTACCTTCTGATTTAGGCGGAGAATGCACTTGTTCAGAAGATGGAGGATGATATTTCTCTCACAAAGGACCTTGGAACGAATATCCAGCAGATCAATTTGGAGAGGCAGCAAAAGAAAAGCTCCTAGAACAAAAAGACAAAGAAGAGGTCAAAATTTCATCGTTCCATCAAAGATCTCAATGTGATAGTGAAGTCGGAGCTGGAGTCCCTCCCTTAGAAAACAATAAAGAAGTTTCTGTGAACATGATTAATTTTGATATGGAAGACAACAACCCTAAAGAAAAGACAGATGATGACCATCCTTCAGAACAATCCATGGCACCCATAAAAAATAAGAACAAGAAGAAGAGAGCATCTATATTCTGTTGTGGAAAGAAAAAATACGAAAGTGATGATGATTAATTTCTCTTCTACAATATCTATGTAATCATTTCTAAATTTGCATAATTCCTACAATTTCTGTCGCTTAGCCAATTAGAGCGATTATTCAGGAAAATATTGTTTATTTGCAACCTCACCAAACGAATGAAAATATTATAAAAAACATCGCCCAATGACGTAATTAAAGTTAATTTTTAAATCGTGATGATTAAGATTCGATGAAAATTTTAAAGTGGATTTTCAGCCAAATTCTATTAGCATATTAAAGTTCTCAACTCACAGGTTGGGCGACAAAATATGAAAAGGTTATAATATTCACTTTCTCTACATTTTAGTAGTTTTGAGGTTAGTTATAGCAGCAGGAAATTTTGTTGAGACTGGTTAAATCTCCAGAAAATTACAAATTTTCCCTCAAAATCTCAAAGCCTCTGAACAATATTACTAATTTAATTGATTTCAACCTCGATCTACAAATAAGGGGTTTTGGGGTTTTGGGGTTTTGGGGTTTTGGGGTTTTGGGGTTTTGGGG